AAGGGCGTCCTCAATGACAGAGGGACCTGTATCAAAGTTCATCAGAGAAGAGATCGATGGAAGGATTTAGTAAACAGTACATTAGTGGAAAGTGCAGGTAAGTGAAAGGAGGATAGGGAGGAAAACATTTGGTGCTCCCAAAAAACGACATGGCGGGAGATACGAAGCGTTTAGAGAGAGGGTCCGAACAGCGAAAACCTTTATGTTCAATTCCATACCCAAGAAGCAAACAAAGACGGGGACGCGGTTCAAGTTGGTATGCGGTCATGGGGTTGAAGGAGAACAAAGCAGGCCGAAGCCAAAAACCCAAGTTTGCATAGGGAGGGGGAGTGACATTGTAGACGTTTCAAAGGGAGTTTGATTATGGTATGACAGGGAAGGAGCACAATTGATAGTGCAGACAGCAGTGAGGGGCAGCTTCCCCCAAAAGTTTAGGCAAGAAGATGAGAGAAGGAGAGCGCGAGTAGTGTCAAGAATATGCCTATGTTTCCGTTCAGCACGGCCATTTTGCTGGGACGTGCCAGCACAGGAACGATGAGGCAGTGTTCCATGACTCTGAAGAAAGAAAGGAAATCGGAATCCCGATATTCCATAGCATTGTCGGAGCGAAAAAGTTTGTGGTTTTTAGAAAATTGGGTGTGGATCATTTGGGCAAATCGATTAATAAATGGTTTTGAGGTCAGACGAGTTTTCATGAGAAAAATCCAAGTAAACCGTGAAAAATCATCAATGAAAACAACAAAATAAACGAGATCCCCCCATAGTAGTGGTACGGGGAAGGGCCCCAAATATCCGAATGTATAAGATCAAAAGGTGCACAAGAAACAGAAAGTACTTTATTGAATGATAAAGCAGGTTGTTTGTGCAAGTTGACAGGGTATACAATCGAAAGTATCTGGAATTACATGACCCAATTGTCCACTAGAAACCAAAGACTGTAAGCGAGTAATAGAAATATGTTCTAAGCGCAATGTCAAAGATGAAAAGGAGAAATGAGGAAGCAGATGCAGAGGCAGCGATCTGAGGAGAGGCAGGACATAAAGTGAATGAGCTCATAGAGACGTCCGTGCTTACGGCGGATCCAATAGCTGCCTCGTCTTGAGGGTCCTGCACCCAAACAATGAGTAGTAGAAAAGGTGACAGTTAGACCAAGTTTCACATAATTGACCAATAGAGATAAGGTTTAAAGTGAAGAGCAGGATATGATAAACTTGAGGTAAAGTTAAGGAAAGAGTGGAGACAGTACCAAGATGACGGACAGTCATGAGAGAACCATCAGCAGTTTGAATTGAGGAATATGAGGAGAAGAAGAGATGGAAGAAAATATAGTTGAACTGGAGGTCATATGATTACAACAGGCAGAATCAAAATACAAGAAGAGTTACCTGGAATTACAGACAAAGCAGTAAGAGGAGGAGTGTACCAGAAGGGGAGAGAAGGTTTTGAGCATGGCCTCGACATCCGTTGGAGAAAAGAGAGGGGTAGACGGAGCCGGAGACTCAGAAAACCCTCAGCGGCAGCAGCAGCAGTGGCGGTGTGAGGAGACTGATTCCCAGAATGAGATTGATTCCTGGAACGATGAAAGCTCCCGGAAAGAACCACCGCTGAGAAGAGTGGCTGTTGGAGATGAGCGGGATGGATGGCGAAAACAATCCTGTTGCAGATGACAGGACTAAGTTTGTTACAATATCGGCAGGTTTTGACCGGGCAATTGACCAGGAGATGTGTGGAAGGAAGGCCCGATTCTGACAGTAGAGGCAGGCAGTGGTCCGCTGGGTGAATGAGGGGCGTACGGGGAGTGGCAAACGAGTCCATATGATGAGTTTGGAGAGTACCAAGACGAGTTCTTCGAATAGCAACTCAGAAATAGCTTGTTCCAGAGTGGGCAGGGATGGCGATGAAGAAGAGAGGCACGTACGGGCTCAAAAGATGAATGAGAGCCATGAGAAAGTGCACCAACCGTTGTTGATACGATAAGCAGAAATTAAAACAGCATCTTCTTGGTTATGCCAAGTTGGTTCTGAAAGAGCAAGCTGATCCCAAACAGAGTATATTTGAGAAAGGAAGTCATTAATGGACTGAGTGGATTCTTGGCGCATGCGATGAAGTTGGTTCTGAAGTTGATATTGGTGGGCAAGACCAGTAGTCTGGTATCGTTCTTTCAAAAAATCCCAGATGTCTTTTGCAGGAGTAGTTACAGAGTCAAGCTGAAAGCGACCAAACTGAAGACTGATAGATGTAACAGAGGTATTACGAAACCAGGTAATGATTTGGTAATTCTTACTGTCCCAGTCCTCAAGGCGATCTTCATATGTAGGAGTAGCAGGAGAAACAGTGGTTTCAGCAGTGTCTTTGACCGGTTGGGTCATGTCCCCGGTGATAATTCGCCAGAGTTTCTTTCCTTTGAGGAAGGAAGACATGGCTTGGGCCCATAGAACATAGTTGGAACCATCCAAAATAAAAGAAATGGGATGGGAGGCATCAGGACGATCCATAGTAATAGTGGAGCGGGCTAAATAGAGAGGGGGAGACCTGTAGGAGCAAAATTAGGTAAAACAGAGTGTACCAGTGAGTCCGGAAGGTCGAAAATAGCTAGGAAAGGTGGGCTGGGTAGAGATGATGTCAGCAGGATGGAAAATGATGTCACCGGCGCACGTTAGCAGGGAAGGCGTGCAGCGCACGGTAGCAGAGGAGGCTGGCGGCGTAAGGTAGCAGAATGGTGCACGCGGGTGCACAATAGCGGAACGGCGCACGCGCGGCTCACGGTAGACGAACGGCGCACGCGGGTGCACGGTAGCAGGCGTGGCGCACGACAGGGCAGGGTGGAAGGCATGTGGTAGCGCGTGTGAGAGTGGCAACGGAAGCAGAGACGCGCCGAGCAAAGAAGTGGCGCGTGAAAGCGCGTGAGAGCTCTTCTGGTGATGGGCTTGGTGCCGTTGGAACCGTAAGGAGATTCCGAGCTGTTTGGTGTAGTCCACTGTGTACGGGACTAAGCACCAAAATTGAAGAATGCCAGAAATGTATTACTAGGCTCTGATACCATGTGAAGTTGGTAATGAGAGAGAGAGAAAAGAGAGAGACTGAAATGAAAATTGATATGTTCACTATCTGTTATTGTATATCTGTGTGTTACAAGATAATGAGCTCTCTCTCTTTATAGAGAGGAGAATGAGACAAAGCATACAACAATACACATGGGTTAGCACATGGGTTAGCTCTCTTTACAGCTGAATACATAGTGGTTAGCTCTCTTTACAGCTGAAGGTAGTGGGTGAGTGTGTGGTAGTGGGGCTCTTTACAGAAGTGGGTCTCTTTACAGCTACAGCTATAGTATTTTATATTATATGTTAACAATCATTATGATAGTTTCCCAAAATCATGTTGTCACTGGTTTTTATTTATGATCATACTTTATAGATATAAAATGATATTACTTCTGGCCAATTCACAAAGTGGCGTAAACCTCTGGTGAGGACATGGTGCAGAAATAACTTCAGCTCTATTTGCTTGAACTGGCTGCCCTCACAAATCATAAAATTTTCTTCATGCTTAAAGTAATATAGAATCGAATTCATGAATGCAAAAACTTTACATCTCATCCCTTAATTTTTAGGGATTTGCTTATGGTTCTTGTTTAGATGGGCAAGCCTTGCTTTTGATGGAAGCAGACAAGAGGAGAATTGAAAGAAGGATAAAATGGTTGGTTTGTTCGTATCATATTCTGAGGTAGTGGCAGCTTAAACGTTAGTCTGTACATCAGTTTTTTGATTGTGGTTTCTCAAGTAGTCAAGTTGTTTTCTGATAACACGTGCTGAATTAGTGATTTTGGGAAGAAAATTCTGAAGCACTAACCTGGTAACCTTCTATAGTTTGGAATGATGGCACTTTTTTCATGTTTTTCTGATTTTGCATGATTTGGAATTTGTACATGTGCATTTTGTGGAAGAGTTATGACGTAAGTGACTTTTTTTGTAGTGTTTCTGCATTGCAACTTTATGTTTCTCATATTTGTTTAATGTGATGGTTACTTAGGAGTGACAAATTGCTTGCAATATCAACACCCGTTACTCTTACACACGATCGGCGTTTTGTTTAGTTTCTTTTGCAAATTAGCTTGATTGTGAGCTGGCCTTTGAAATTTTTTATTTAAGAGGTTGTTAACTCTTATTTTTTAACCATAAAATCGTAGTGTTCAGACTGTCACCAAGAGTTTGGATAGGGTTGAGAGTTAGTTGGGTCCATACTCTTTTAGCTGCATTAGTTGCATGTGAAATAAACCTAGTACACAATCCGATTCTTTATTGAGAAAGGTGAAGAGCACTAGCATTAACACCGTAGACAAACATTACTTTAATCACTTAATCAAAAATACTAGGAAATAATTAATAAGCAGTTCCTACTCTGCATATACTAAGATATATTTGTCTTCATTGGGATTAGGAGTTTAATAGGGCTTAAGTAAGCTGAATGGTTGTGTCATAAACAGCCCCAGCTTTCCATTCACTAGGAATCACACTACTCAGCTGCACCCATTTCAACCCTACACTGCCACTTACTTGGACCCTGAAGTTAAGTGCCCCTGCTGGTGGGTTAGCCATGTCCCATACTGCACCGTAGGCCTTTCGCATACCCCGCCATTGCTGGCAATCCGCCTGCATCAAGAAAATATATGACTATTAGACTTTCTGGACCCTGCTTTAGCAAGAGCCTCGTCACTAGGTTGCCCTTAAAATGATATGTACACAAGACAACTTGCTTACAATACCTAGTTCACCAAATTTGTTTAGAAGACTGTACCTGCCACACTTCTGCGGCGGTGATGTCGTTTTGGCCAGCTTGGTACAACATGACTACGGCTAGGTACTCAGGGAACCTGCTGTGCTCATGAACCTTGACCATGAGATTGTAACCTGGATACTGGCAAGGAATTCTTCGGTATTCTATGTCAACCACGCCATAGGCAAACAAATCCAAGGCTGCGTTGGGACGAGCCAATCTCGAGTAGGACCGAGTGCTTATGATGAAGTCAGTCTTGTCCCCTTCACCATAGTCTGTCACCACTACCCTCACTCCATCTTCAGTGCAAAGTTGTGGTACTTTGCACCTAACCAGTAGTTGTGTTAAGGATGAAGAACCTTCTAGTGCATCAGCAGCATCTTCTCATGCATCAGCATCAGATGCAATCACAGCTCACAACTGTTTCTCAACTGTTTCCGTAATTGCTGGAAAGTAGTTAGAAGTCATTAGAAGTAGTTAGACTCTATTATTTAGTTACATATCTCTTGTATAAATATACTGATATTCTTTAATTAGAATTGTGTTCAATCTTTCTTCATGGTATCAGAGCTTTCTGAAGCTCTCACGAGCACAACTCTGGGCCATCCATGGCTTCTTCTGATTCATCATCTTCTTCTTCTTCTTTATCGTCTAATCTCAGTCTATTGATGTCTAATCTCAGTTCACTCATTACAGTGAAACTTGATTCTGCAAATTTTCTAATCTGGCGCAGTCAGTTTCAAAATGTTTCGCGAGCAACTGAGTTGTTTAATTTTGCAACTGGTTTAGTTCCTTGTCCACCATTGCAGATCAAAGATTCAAATGGTGTTGAAGTGCTCAATCCATCTCGAGCACAGTGGAACAAAACAGATTCTCATCTGCTAAGCTGTATAACAGCTGCACTTACACCTCCGATTTTTTCCTCCGTTCTTCATTTGCACCATAGCTTTGAGGTTTGGAATGCTCTCTGTAAAAGATTCACAGTGTTATCTAGATCTCATATTCATGAAATGAAGAACCGTTTGAATCATCTGACAAAAGATTCATTGACCATGCATGAGTATTTGACTCAGATAAAAGATATTTCTGATCAATTAACGCTGGCCTCTTCACCGGTTGATGAAGAAGATCTGGTACTTCTCACTCTCAATGGCTTACCAGATGAATTTGATGCTCTCAAAACCACCATTCGAGCACGTATTGAGCCTATTTCTATGGCAGAGTTAACATATCTCTTAAATTCTGAATCAATTCACATTACAGCTAAACAGAGAAAGTTGCATTCTCATGAACCTTCAGTTGCTTATACTGCACATGCACAGCTTGGTTCATTTAGTTCTGCTTCTAGAGGAGGACGCTCGTTCCTTCGCGGTTCCAAAGGTGGTTTTAGAGGTGGTCTTCGTGGTGGCAGTACCCGATCTACTTCTTGTGGTGGCAAAGGTCGATATTCCTCCTACAACTTAACTTGTCAAATCTGTGGGAAAAGCAGTCACACTGCCATTGACTATTGGCATAGACTGGATCCTACCTTTCACCCATCCTCTTCCTCTAATTTTGCTTCTTCATCTGTTTCAGCATCTCCTTCATCTGGCTATCCTTCTCCTCAAGCCTTTGTGACTTCCACTCCATCCACTGTTTCTGCTGATTCTTCTCCCTAGTACCTTGATTCTGCAGCTTCTGATCATATTACTAATGATCTCTCTAATCTTCACATGTATCAGGATTATCATGGCCCTGATCAGATTACTGTAGGTAGTGGTAAGACCATTCCTATTCATCATACAGGTAAAGGCCTACTCCCTACTCCTCATTTTTCCTTTAAGCTTAATAAGCTTTTGCATGCTCCCATCTCCTCCAACCTTCTTTCTGTGCATCAGCTTACCAAGGATAATAATTGCACCGTGACATTTGATGACTCTTCCTTTGTGGTCCAGGACAAACACTCGAAGGCCATTCTGCACCAGGGCCATAATGCTCATGGCTTATATCACTTTCCACATTTGTCATCACCATCTCCTACTGCTGTGCATCATCTTCCTGCATCATCCTCTCATGCTGTCTTTTCTACTACTACTAGTCCTGTATCTGAGGTTACTTGGCATCACAGATTGGGTCATCCCTCACAACAAAAATTTGTAGTTTTAAAACAACACTTGTCTGTTGCTAATACTCATCCTACGTCTACTGTGTTTTCTTGTAATCATTGCAGCATAGCTAAAACTCATAGATTGCCTTTCAAACTTTCTAATTCTACTGTAAATAAGCCCCTATCTCTTATACATAGTGATGTATGGGGGCCCTTTCATTCTTCTTCCTCTTGTTAGAAATTCTATGTACTTTTCATTGATGACTATAGCAAGTTTACTTGGCTTTATCCTCTTTGTTATAAAAGTGAAGTGTTTTCCAAATTTTTGGAATTTAAAGCTTATGTTGAGACTCAATTTTCCACTAAATTGCAAGTGCTTAGAACTGATGGAGGTACTGAATTTGTTAATTCTTCTATGACTCAATTTCTGAAAGCACAAGGAATTGTTCATCAATTATCTTGTCCCTACACTCCCCCTCAGAATGGGGTCTCTGAACGCAAACATAGACATATTATTGAGACCACTATTGCTTTGCTTCATCATTCTAGTGTTCCCCTCAAGTTTTGGTTTGATGCTGTCTCTACTGCTACTCATCTCATTAACCGACTCCCTAGTGACACCCTTTTGCATAAATCACCTTATGAACTTCTTTTTCATGCCTTACCTGATTACTCTTTTCTCAGAGTATTTGGGTGTCAATGTTTCCCTTGGTTGAAACCTTATACCACCTATAAGCTGCAGCCTAGATCTACTCTTTGTGTTTTTCTTGGTTATCACTCCTCCTATAAAGGTTACCGGTGTTTGGACATGGCCACAAGTAAAGTTCATATCTCCAGACATGTGAGTTTTAATGAAACTATTTTTCCCTTTTCTGCAATTTCTTCAATTTCTGCAGCATCTTCATTATCCACTCTTCAATCTTTCTTTTGGCCTCCTTCTCCTTTGCCCTCTGTTACTGCAGTCCCAGTGTTTACATCTGTTTTACCAGCTTCTGCATCTGGTTTGTCTCCGCAGCTCACTGATACTGCCCCACTTCTGTCTTCAGTTGCACCACAATCTCCGCATCCTATGACTCCAGCCCAGACTTTTGCATCTGTATCTGCTGCCCTAGCACAATATCAGTCTGTTTTATCAACTTCTGCAACTGTTTTGCCTCAGCAGATTACTGCTGCTGCCCCACGTCAGCCGTCTTTTGCACCACTTTCTCAGCCTATTGACTCTGTTTTGGCTGCTGAGTCAGCCCAGGTTACTGTTGCCCATCCTACAGCTGCCTCCGTTCCTTCTACTTCTGCATCTCCTACCACTTCAGCTCAGCCTATTCCTGTTCAATCTCTTTTTGTTGATTTACCTCCTATTTCCTCTACTACAAATCTTCATCCCATGGTCACCCGTTCAAAGGTTCATGGTCTTATGACACAAACATCTTCCTCATTTGTTGATGTTGAACCTTCTACTTATCAACAAGCCCTTGCCTCTCCACATTGGCATGCTGCTATGCTTGATGAGTATAAAGCTTTAATGGCTCAAGGAACCTGGTCTCTGGTCCCTCTTCCAGCTTCTAAACAAGATATTGGTTGTAAATGGGTGTTCCGCATTAAGCGCAACAGTGATGGTTCCATTGCTAGATACAAGGCACGTTTGGTAGCTAAAGGTTTCTTGCAACAAGAAGGTATTCATTATAATGAAACCTTTAGTCCTGTTGCAAAACATCCCACAATTCGCATTTTGCTCTGCCTTGCTTTGCATCATCACTGGCCCTTAAAGCAGCTCGACATTAGCAATGTCTTCTTACATGGTCACTTGGATGAAGAGGTTTATATGACACAACCACCAGGCTTTGTTAGTCCTTCTTCCCCTCACCTTGTATGCAAATTACATAAGGCTATCTATGGATTGAAGCAAGCTCCCCGAGCTTGGTATTCTACTTTTTCCAAGTTTCTCGTTTCTCAGGGATTTGTTAATAGTCACTGTGATAATTCCTTGTTCATCCATAAAACTTCTCATTCTATTACTATTCTTCTAGTATATGTTGATGACATTCTTCTTACTGGTAGTCATTATTCTCATCTTCAAACTCTTATTCATCATATGCATTCCGCTTTTGCCATGAAGGAGTTAGGTGATATTTCCTATTTCTTGGGCATTTCAATTCAATCTCTTGGGGATTCTTATTTCTTATCTCAGCAGAAGTATGCCTCTGATATTCTTGTTAAAGCCGGCATGACTTCTTGTAACCCTTGTCCCACACCTAGCTCCATGAAACCTCCTCTTCACTCTGCTGCTGCTCTTCCATTTGCTCAACCTCAGTTATATCGCAGCTTAGTTGGAGCACTGCAATATCTTACCATTACCTGTCCGGATCTTTCCTTAGCTGTTAATCAAGCTTGTCAATACATGCATGCTCCTACCAATGGTCACTTTGCTTTGGTCAAACGAATTCTTCGATTTGTAAAGTACTCTCTCTCTCATGGGTTGATTTTTCGTCCTAGTTTCTTCACCTTACAAGCATTCTCTGATTCTAACTGGGCTGGGGATCTCCTAGATCGCAAATCTACTTCCGGTTATTGTGTCTATCTTGGTTCAAATATTATCTCTTGGTCTGCCAAGAAACAACCAACTGTTTCTCGATCAAGTACGGAGGCTGAATATTGATCCCTTGCTCAGGCTACTGCAGAATTGAGCTGGTTACAAATGCTTCTCCATGATCTTTCCATTCCTAATCCCTGTCCTCTTATTCTTTGGTGTGACAACTTATCCGCCATTGCCCTTGCTTCTAATCCCGTATTTCACACACACTCAAAACATATTGAGGTGGACTGTCATTTTATCCGCGAAAAGGTTGCTGGGAAACATCTTGTTCTAAAGTACATTCCCTCTGAAGAACAGATTGCTGATATCTTTACTAAGCCTCTGTCAGCCTCTCGGTTTCAGCTTCTTCAATCCAAGCTTCTGGTCTGCTCTGCTCCCATCAGCTTGAAGGGGGCTGTTAAGGATGAAGAACCTTCTAGTGCATCAGCAGCATCTTCTCATGCATCAGCATTATTAGATGCAATCACAGCTCCCAACTGTTTCTCAACTGTTTCCGTAACTGCTGGAAAGTAGTTAGAAGTCATTAGAAGTAGTTAGACTCTATTATTCAGTTACATATCTCTTGTATAAATATACTGATATTCTTTAATGAGAATTGTGTTCAATCTTTCTTCAAGTTGTCAATAAACAAATAACTTCCATTGTAGACACAAAAATAAGGGAGCTACTTTTTTTACATGTTCTGAAGCAACTTCAATTGGCTGCCTATTTCTTGCCTTCAAGAAAGGCATATAGTTTAAAGTTGTTGCACTTCAACATAGTCACAAGCGTCACAATCAAATATTTTTTTTGTTTTATTTGAAATTATACGTAGGAACCTAAGAGTATTTATGCATATCCTTCCAAATATACTTTAGAAGTGTCCCAACACTTAATTTTTTGTTACTTTCAAGCTCAAATAAACTCAAAAAGATTAAGTTGTTTTTTAATTGAATTACCTGATAGCATGCACCACTGCCAGTTCCATTCCTGTACAGCCTAGAAACCCCGCTCACGCCTCCATCATAGACGGTTCTTCCATTTTCACCAAACCTGCAGGCTCCAGCTAATTTAAAATCATTAAACACATTTTAATCATCGAAGATAAATCATCAATGTAGAAATGTACATATATATATATATATATATATTTGCTAATACACATATACATCAGTACCATGTGTGTATATATAGGAGAGAATACATACTTGGAGTCCCTAAGCAATCAGGGCTACCATAATAGGTTGCTCTAGAGCACACATAAGCATCCTGGGAGTAACAAACTAGAGGCAAAAGCACCATGACACAGAGAAGAGAGCAATAGCTCTTAGCTGCAAAACCCATTTCTTATTCTTAATAAGATCTATTGTCTCAGAAGATGATGAATAAGGGAAAGATTTTGGGGATGGGAAGCTCACACATGAAATCACATATTTATAGTTGAAGTCATGAGGGCTGGATGAGAGAATTGCCACCTTTTTCTTTTCCACTTTTGGATGTGTACAAACAGACACCTGTATTGACCCCTTAAGACCATTTCATATTTCTGCATTTACATTTACTTATATTGTAACTCTTGACAGAGTGAAATGGTAAAAAAAGATTAATCTTGTTAATCTTATCTGATTGGCACGCAAAGTTTACTTTGATTTACTTATATTGTATTTTATTAAGTAGCGTTTGGTAACGTTTACGTTTTTGGTTTATGTTTACAAAAATTTTATAAATTGATTTTTATTTATTTTTAGAAAAATATAAACTACAAACACGTTTAGTTTGAACAAAATATTTGAAAATTTTTAAAAACATAAACTAAAAATATGTTTGTTCAAACCTAAAATATTTATATTTATTTTTTATTATTTATGACAATGGGATAATACACATTATAATTAAAAAAAATTAATTCAAAAATTAATTCAAAAAAAATTATTCAAAAAAATATTAATTGAAAAAAAAATTTATTAGTCAAATTTTTAAATTTTTATTTAAAAACTAACGTAAACTCATTTTTTTAAGTTTACGTTTTTTCTTCAAATTTATAAAAAAAATGCTTGGGAGCACTAGAAATGGAGCACTAGAATGAGCACTAATGATGTGCCAGTGGGCCCTGTCCACTTTCTATGTCTTGTTTCTTTTTTTTTATTTTTTTTTTTACCATTCCCAATGCATTAGTGCTATTAGTGGTGTATTTTTTAATGGTCTAAATCATTGTTGAATTTATAAACTAAGACAATCATTTATGAACTAAAAAAATTATCAAACAATTTTTTATGAATTTTTTGAAATTTTTTATAAATATAAACTAAAAATTAAAAATAAAATAATTACTAAACAGACCCTTAATAAGCAGTGAGACAAGTCAGTTTTGCGTAACTTTTCTGTCACCTTTTTTGCTACTTTTAGCTAGTTAATTTATAGGTCGTCGTTCTCAAGTATTAATGAAAATATTTTTTTTCTTTCAATTGTTATACTTTTGGTATTAGTTTTTGGTTCTCTATTCCATGATAGTAGGGGGCAATTGCTTCCCACTGAGAAATGTTGCACCTTTTTTTAACGGTATCTTTTTGATAAAAAATTAAACATTTCTTTTATTTTAGGCATGGTGATATTAAGATTGTGTTTGAATTTGACATTTAAATTGAGATTTGTGAAGAGAAAAGTAAATTTTATTTCTTACTTTTTCCTCCCCTTTTGTAAATTTCTATACAAATCATAAAATTTAAACACAAACTTAAAATAAATTGGTGTGGCAGCAGATTAATGGCTAGCAAACCCATTAACAATTGACATTGTCAGATGGCACAAAAGATGCTAGAATCATTGTGTGTCCAAATTCACAGTATTTCCAAGAGCTGGATTCCCTTATTTATGTACTGATAGTGTCATATCTATGTGTAGGACCTGTAATATTTAAAAAATGAGGACTAGGCACGCCCATAAAAAGTCAGGTAGGATGTGACACTAAAAAAAAAAAATTAAAAATTTTAAAAATTAAAATTTAGAGATAAAATTATTTATTAGAGATTAAAAAATTTTGTTACAAAAAGTGTCATTATTATATTTTTAACAACAAAAATTAGATATTAGTAATGAATTATTATCTTTTTGGGACTAAATTTTGTCTAAAAAAAAAATCGTTTTGAGACCAAATTATTTTGTCCTTAAAAGTCTATTTATTAGTGACATTTTTAATATTTTGTCGCTAAAAGCCTTATTTTTGACTTTTTAGAACGATTTTTTAGCAGTTATTCTCATAACGATAAAAATTAGTTCCTAAATGTCTTTTGTAACAAAATTTCACTTTTAAAATTCTTATATGTTGTAGTGTGAATAATTCTAATAAAATATTTCATTGATATATATATATATATATATGATTTTATCTTCCAACTTTCTATGGACGTCTCATTTGGAGTTTGCATAATGTGTGGTGGGAATGGTATTGAAAGGCGATTGCTTTATTTATTTATTTTTTAACTGGAATGGCCCACTTTGCAAATTTTATCTTTGCCTCTCCTTTTGGACTGAAGTCTTGTTAGTTGTTATGCAGGTCCTATGTAAAATCGTTGAACAATAGTTTGGTATGCAGGTTCTATGTAAAATTGTTAAACAATAGTATTGACTTTTTATCTATTCATGTATAATTAACTGGGTTGATTTTAAGCCCTCCATTTGACTATTGTAGACACGCGCGCGCACAAAATGATATCCAATGTTGTCTGATGTTATCAATTCCAAGAATTTGTAATTTAATATTAGAGTAATGCTAGGGACACCAAATTTTCTACCAAACAAATGACCAAATGTCTCACATGGGTGTGGGGTCCGCAATTTTGTGGGTCCCACACCCATGTGAGATATTTGGTCATTTATTTGGTAGAAAATTTGGGACCTCTAGCATTTTCCTTAATATTAACTAGCCGTCGGCAGGTGGTGTATTCAAATTAGGAAAAATATCAAGTGTATTAGCCATTTAATACAAAGCTTGTTTAATGCAGTTCATTGGTGAGAGGGTGATTCATGATCTGGAGTTGGGCTGAGGTAACGGCCGAGCAGGTTGAGAGCTCAACGGTGCATGGGGCCGAGACGACTGACTATCCGCCAAGAAATGGGCTGCTAGAACTTGGACCGGGCAGAACTTGGGCCGAGTGCGTGTCGCCCCAGGCCGTAGAGAAGCTGCTCGGTTGGACCGAGCTGCTCGGTCGGGTGATGGCCGAAGCAAGACAAGCTGAGTGACCGGCGCCCGGAAAGGCGTGGACAGCCGAGGTAACTGTTTGACTGGCAGAAAGGCCGGCCACAGGAGGTGCCCTGGGCTAGGCTTTGCCGAGATGTCGCCTAGCCCGGTCCTCCTTGGGCTTAGCCAGTGAAGTGCTTGGACATGAAGCACGGCACGGTAATAGACAGAATAGCTCGGCTGCCGAGCTCCAGCTGTGAAGGCAGGCAGTTGAGATTAGGTGATGTTCAGCAAGGTTTGTGCTGACAGATGGGATAGCGGAGTCACGTGTCAGGGGATGACTGGGAGTAGATATGGGGCACAGAGGGTATATAAGCATGTCTGCGCCCCCCATACAAAGAGGATGAACACTTTGTAAGGATTTTCTTACACTAAAACACCTCCCTCTCTCTCTCTCTCTCTATCCTAAGGTGTGTGCTAACTTGATCGTCGAAGGGTTTTTCCGGCCACACACCGCCGGGTAGCTCACCATTCTTTGCGCGCAGGTGATCGGACATAAACGGAGCTTGGAAGAAAGGAGTACGGGCTTGCCGGAATATTTGCTCCCCGTACAATTGGCGCCGTCTGTGAGAAGTTGACAGACAAAACCTTGTCTTCCAGGTTCATCTGATCGCCGTCCATAGTGAACAACGACGAGTTTCCGTTGTCTGCCATAGATGGAGCTACCCCGGAGTTCACCCGAAGGAGAGAAGGTCCTCACGCCATCCATCCAATGGCGGACTTGGGGACGCCTACCGGAGGACAGTCAGGAGACGTGCGGGACAAGCGCGGAAGAAGTCACGGACATTCACGGAGTCCAGACGGTCACCGGCGGAGGAGAGACTCACACGCCAGGCGACTGGAAAGTAAGTTGAGAGATCAAGATGCTGTCATCCGGCGAATGGCGGTGGAGATGGAGGATCTCAAGCGGCATGTCAAAGGCAAGGGTGTAGTTGGAGTGGGAGACCACAATGAGCGCATCCCATCCCGCCGTTCAGGCGGTCAGAGTCAGCGACGTACTCAGTCCATATCCATTACCAGAAGTTACCAGGTTGGTGATTCCGACGCGAGTGCAGAGAAGTCTAGCGCGCAAGACAGCACCTATAAGCCCTCACGTCCGGAGACGACGTCGAGGTACTCTTACTCTGCTCAGTCAGAGGATTTACGGGCGGTCTTAAAGGAGCGGGCTCGCCGGCGCGAAGCTCAGAGAATACCTGCCTTCCAGCGGCTATCCTACGGGGTTCACGCCAGCGAGGAGGTCGGAATGCCTCTACCCCGACAAGCAGTGCCACTTTTCGAAGATACGGACTTGGCTAGGCTGAGTGCCACCCCTTTTTCCCTGGATATAGAAACAACACCGCTTCCGGTAGGCTTCCACCAACCTAAGTTCACACTTTACGACGGAAAGACCGATCCATACATGCATGTGAGCCACTTCTGACAGGTTATGGTCGGGCATAGGCGCAATGACGGACTTATGTGCCTAATCTTCCCGTCAAGTTTAGGCGAGCTGGGCTTAAAGTGATTCGAAAGGTTGCCGGAAGGGAGCATACAAAGGTGGCATCAGTTGGCCGAGGCATTTGTTACACGCATCAAAACCAACACAAAGACACCAAAGGAAGTCGATCATTTGCTAAGTGTCAAGATGGAACCGAGCGACACACTGAAGGTATACAACTCAAGGTACTGGGAAACCTTCAACGAGATCTTGGACTGCCCGGTCAACCTTGCAATCACGCAATACAAGCGTGGTCTCCCGGTCGGACATAGACTGCGGGACTCGCTTACCATGCACCAGCCGACCTCCATGGGCCAGCTCATGCAGCGCATCAATGAGCACATCCGAGTAGAGGATGACGCGTCAACCTCTACCGCGAAGGCCACTCCGGTAGCAACAGACAAGAAGACAGCAGGCAAAGTGCACGCAGTTGGGCAAGAGTCCAGCCGCTCAGGTGACCGAGCAGAGGAATCGGACCGTGGTTCGAATCGTAAGAGTCGGGGTAGAGGACGTCGTAATGACCGGGATGACTACCCCCGAGATGATGTAGCGGACGCAAACAGGAGGATGAAGGCAAGGACTGGTATAACCACGGTCTTCAAGATTCCAATCTATCGCATACTTAGTGAA